AATTCAAATTTTATTTATATCAGACTTTTCAATATGTATCAATAATTTATATTTTATATCCCTCCATTCTTTTTATGTCAATAAATACACCTCAATTACAACTTGTCCAGGACTTAAATCGTGAATTTCAAGATTATATTCCTAGAAGTTCAAAGATACGAGACAATACAATGCATCACCAAATTCGTACAGACTTTGTTGTTCTACTATTTTTCATTTGTAATCTTAACTTATGTTTTTCTTAATCTAATAATATTGAGTGTATTTTCAACATTTAAAATTAAGTATTCTAACTAAAAAAATATATTTATTTTTATTAAGAATAGAATATAAATATAGTAAATGAATGATTAAATGTGGGCGTGTGTTTAAATGGAGAGATATTTAGTGGAAATATGATGTGGATAAAAGAGAGTGTAAATTGTGATTGAATGAATGTTAAGGGATTTGGATGCCCTTAGTTATAGGTACAACAAGAAATGAACATTCATGCATCTATACTTATATAATAAGAATTAACATTTATCCAAAATAGTAGGTCAAATTATGGTAAATGTCGGACTACTAGGGTAATAATATTTCTGAATTTCATGAAAAAAAAAGAGCTGAGAAAAAAAAAACCCAGGAAATGAAACTAATATAACACTAAGCGAGGCAGATATATTTTTTTCTACAATATATATATTTTCAAATTAAAATATTTTACTTTGAAAATAATATAAACAGAATTATACATGTTATAAGTATACAATACCTATGTAACGCACGCATATGTTATCGCCGAACAATTAGTTCACAATATCTAAACAAAGGAAAATGTGATGAAATAACAGATATTGTTGTGATGAAATAATATATCAGATATCTTCGGTGTTAGGGGACATTATAACTAATCTGGTCAAGTTGGTGAGAAACAATTTTATTTTTTTTTTTCCTCATCATTTGGTCACCATTTACAATTATTTAGTCCACAAAACACATTGTGACAATGTATACGCATGATCTCTTTAATTATATAAATAAAATGAGCCCAAATAGCTAGCCAACACGGCCCACGGGTTCTCACGAACTAAATTAAGTTTCAGCTTGAATGTAAATATCATATTCCAGAAATCTTCATTCCCTGTCAAAGTCTCGCTTTCAAATCTAACCACATGAAGCTTGTTATATATTATGGACTAAAATTTTCATATATTATGTTTCACAAATGAACTCAAAAACTGTGGAACATAACAATTCGTAGTGTATACTTTGTTGATGTTGATATCCACATTTATCAAGATTTCGGTCTAAATATCTCATCTTGAATTATGAATACTAGTAATTGCCCGTGCGATGCACGGAATGGTATATTTCTAAACATTTTTTAATATTAAATATTAAGTTTAATGAACTTGTTATATTTGTAACAAAAGGAAAACGTTGGGCGCAAACTACAAAATTCGTAAATTATTGAAAATTGTTTTGTACACAACGTTTTTCGTTTGAGTTGGCGGCGAGTCACACTCACTACAAACTAATATTTTCAATTAATTTTGAATTTGGAGATTGCATCGCATGGGTACCGTATGTACTTGTTATATTCGTGGAAGATTGCATCGCATGGGTACCGTATGTATCTATTAATTGTATATATTAATTTATATCTTATAATATGGTATTCTACCAAATTTTAGTTAATTTATAGTACAAGTAAAAAAAAAATTAAAATCTATATATGAAAGATTCCATACTTAAATGTATTAATATTGTACGTAAATATATATTCGGAAATAATAAAACTGGTTGATTACGCAGTTAAAAATTATGGAATGCATAACAAACTCTATAAACGTGTATATTAATTGCAATTTATCCTACATATATAGGAAATAATATAATTGGTTTACTATTGCCTTCAACATTTGAATATTAATTTATTAATTTATATCTTATAATATGGTATTCTACCAAAATTTAGTTAATTTATTTATAGTAGAAGTAAAACAAAAAATTTAAAATCTATATATGAAAGATTCCATACTTAAATGTATTTATATTGTACGTAAATTTTAATTGCAATATCTCTTACATATATTATATCTATAATAAAACCGGTTGATCAAATATACTTAAAAAATAATGAATGCATCGTCTCTCTTTAAACGTGTATATCTCCTACGCGTATATCTCATTATATATGTATATCTCCTACGCGTTGAAAATAATATTATATTACAAAAGATAAAGACTGCATCTAATCTCATTTTGGGATAAGATGTATGTTAAATTTATATGTGTTTTATATTATATTAAATAGGTTTCTATACGTTAATATAAGGAAACAATATAACCAATTGGTGTAATTTATATTATTCAGTTATTTTTGTACGTGAATACTAAATACAATATTTCATATTTGAAAGATTTGCAGTCAATTCCTAATAATTTTGTAAGTAGATACTTTCGGATGTTTTAAGCAAGTTCCATAAATATTTAATCGAATTCGTTGACCCGTCTATTTCAACCTTATCTTTGCGTTTAACATTTTAAGTATTAATGTATATACAGCTTGCATAAAATAAGGAATAGTTGTTTTTTAAATTGAAAAAAAAAAAATGCCACATGTTTTAATAATTAGAAAATTTGTTATAGATATATCAGTGCAAATTTGTTATAGATATATCAGTGCAGATTGTGAAACGCGTGATTCCTAATTAATTATACGTGTGAACAGATTTTATTTGCAGTAATAGCTATATCAGTGCAGATTGGAAAACGCGTGATCAGATTTTAACTGAAAAGATTTTATTTGCAGTAAAATATCAGTGCAGATTGGAAAACGTGTGACCAAATTTTAACTGAAAACGTGTGAATATTTATCTGTGCGGTTTTAAATATTAAATAGGAAACTCGAGGAAAAAAAAAATCCGGATTTCATTCCATGAATTATGCAATGCCTGAACAGATTATCGCTTAAAAAAAAAAAGAAAAAAGATGATAAAAATCCACAACTATCTATATATATATATAGGATTCTCTTTCAAATTAGCGTGCATAAAATAAGGAATAGTTGTTTTTTAAATTGCAAAAAATATGGCACATGTTTTAATAATTAGAAAATTTGTTATAGATATATCAGTGCAAATTTGTTATAAATATATCAGTGCAGATTGTGAAACACGTGATTCCTAATTAATCATATGTGTGAACAAATTTTATTTGCAATAATAGATATATCAGTGCAGATTGGGAAACGCATGAACAGATTTTAACTAAAAATGCTTGAATATTTATCTGTGCGGTTTCAAATATTAAATAGGAAACGCGAGAAAAAAAGAAAAATCCGGATTTCATTCCATGAATTATGCAATGTCTGAACAGATCGGTTAATTCAATATTGTAGTTGGAGATTGAATACACCTCGCCTTCGTTCAGTCTACCTCGAAATGCTGTCATATTCGGATAACGTATTATGCATTTAATGAATGTACCCTACGATACAAATTCATAAATATTAATTAAAATAATTTCTCACATTATATAAAATTGAAATAACAAAGGTAAATATTACCTGTTCATCATGAAACAGTATATGGAATGCATTCCAGCTCTCCCGTTCGTGATGTGTTTCAATAATGCGGACTGCTCTCAAATGCAAAAAAGGTTTGAATACAATGTCTGAATTATGCAATGTCTATTAAATTCAATATTGTAGTTGGAGATTGAATACACCTCGTCTTCGTTCAGTGTACCTCGAAATGCTGTCATATTCGGATAACGTATTATGCATTTAATGAATGCACCCTACGATACAAATTCATAAATATTAATTAAAATAATTTCTCAAATTATATAAAATTGAAATAACAAAGGTAAATATTACCTTGCATTTAATGAATGCACCTTACGATACAAATTCATAAATATTAATTAAAATAATTTCTCAAATTATATAAAATTGAAATAACAAAGGTAAATATTACCTGTTCATCATGAAACAGTATATGGAATGCATTCCACCTCTCCCGTTCGTGATGTGTTTCAATAATGCGGACTGCTCTCAAACGCAAAGAAGGTTTGTTTCTTCTGTTAACGGAATCAAGTGTACCCCAACCTGGAAGCATTATATTGTCGATGTGAAGAATTGTTCTTTGTATTTTTTTATTTTCTCTCAACTCGTGAATGATGAGTTGTAATGGTGGAAGTGAATATCCTTTTATACAATTTTTTTTTTTCTGCACGTTTGAATTGACCGAAAAAAAAAATGGAAGATATTGTTTTTATTCACCAAAAGTGATTGAAGATAATTATGGATTGTATTTGGATAGATATTAAATTCCATGATTTTTGGGATGCAACAACAAAATATGCAATCATATGTAGATATCTTATCATGTTAAGGGTATATCCATTGCTAAAAAAAAAGAATATCTAATGCCTTAATTATCGGAATTATCAATTTCGTATTCCATAATCCTTATCACGATTGTTTTTCAAAATTTGATTGAGATTACATAAATAGAAAGTCAAAAGTCAACTTAATTTATTTTAGGTTTCTAAAAATGATTTTTACATCAACCTTTTTAGATATATATAGATGTACTATCAATATACTTTAAAATTCTAAAAATCTTACCCAAACATTAAAATAAATTTAATTATTTAATACTGTTGACCCGGTCAAGATGCAATTCGAACTATTTTTTTTATGCTATTTCACTCTCATCTGCGCTGACGTTTTTTAAAATGACAAAACAGTCAACACAACCTTAAAAGCCGAAAATTCAATTTCAAGTATCAATTATAAAAAAGCTAAAAGGAAAAAGGTAAAAGAAAGCTTTGACCATCTTTTTTTCAATTTTCAGTTCACGCTTGCGAAGGGCAAAATTGTCAGACTACATCCAGTATTCGGGTTCTTTTTAATTTTCCCAAACCCGACCAATAACAGAAGTTTCATCGTACGCACAGGACAGTAGAAAGGGCCCTTCCTTCTCGAACGCGGTTCAACAGACTTTGAAAAAATTGTTAAGCGACTACGGTTCACACTGGACGCGATTGGAGGAAAATCCCACAGGAGAGTAGATTCAGTTTGACCGACCGGAATTTACCGACCCCGACATCTGGATATGAGAGGTCCGTCGTCACTATAACAGCATTTGTTTTGCCTTGTCAATTCCGGCTCACAACCTTTGATCTTTCTCATTTCTTTTCTAAAATAGAAAACAAAATCTCCTCAATTTCGCGTAACCGTTTGTTTGATTTCCTTTTAGAATCTGGAATATAAATTGGCTCCGACTGTTTGATTTCGAGTTAATTTTCGTTCTTCAAAAGTTTCCAAGTTTTTGAGTGGAGAGATTTTCGGGGCTCAGCTGATCATTGGTTGACCGGACATGAAATCGCCGTTTGAGAAACTGAGGAATATCGGACTGCATAAGGCCTCCCCGAAGGGAAAATGGGATCAAAAGTTTTTGGTGCATACGGATGGGCTCACTCAAGCTGCAAAGGTGAATTTTATTCAGTCGATTGTTTTCTTTTGGATTTTTGCATTTAGTTTCTTGTGCGAGTTTGATTTATTTTTGCAACCGGTGATGGAATGAGGTTCTAAGGCGATGTTCTGCATAAGTATGGTTCGTTTAGTAGTTATCAGATCAATTTTGACATGAAATTTAGAAAATCAGAAGTTGCCTTAGTCATTTGGGGTCAAGTTGTAGATGTGTATGAGCCTAATTTTTGTTTGCTAGAGATGAACTATCTATCCATCATTGGTGGTATATGACTTTTCTCACCTTTCGTTGATGTTATGATCGTGTTCCTGACCTTAATTCTTATTGTTGCAATTTTGTTATCTGTGTAGATTAAGTGATAGTGTAATGGTTTGTTAAATATTTTTCTCTGGTATTTTTTGGGCTTCTTTTCCATTTGACAGTGTCTGATTTGCTGCATAACGTTTGCAGGATATGAAAGACATGAGAACTTGCTATGATAGCTTGCTTTCAGCTGCTGCTGCAACAGCAAATAGTGCTTACGGTATTTTATTTAATCTTTTGGATGTACTTTTCGAACTTGCAATTACTGTAGTCTAAAGATTCTGCTCTAAATGAGCAATGTAATTGAGATCGTTAATGAGATTCTAGCTTCATGTAACCTTGCTGTGCGAAACATAAAAGTCGATAATGGTACTGAACATTATGGATGCTTGACTATATGTCTTTTGCGTTTACTTTATATAATGCAATATGATAATAGGTATACGGAGCTGTTATACCTTCTGTTTCAAAATACTTTAACTTAGCCATGAACTTGATAACTTCTACTTTTCAGAATTTTCGGAGTCATTGCTGGAAATGGGTAATTGTCTGCTGGAGAAAACTGCAATGCATGATGATGGAGAAAGTAGTAAGTGAGGCAAATTATTATACTTCCGCAAGCTGCTGTGCTTACTTTTCACCATTGTTGACTTAGATTGTTCCATCATTTTTGTCGGAACACTTTTTCTATGTAATCAAGATGATTAAAGATGAATTAAGGTTATCCAAAACCTTACCGTTAACCTCAGACTTTGTTTTTGTTGCTGTGCAGGAGGAGTATTATCTACGCTGGGAAAATTACAGCTTGAACTTCAGAAACTAGTTGACAGCTATGTTAGTATTCATACTCCATTGTTTGATTGACGATTGCCATGCCAATCTTAAGTATAAATCACACACTCACATACACACACTATATATATAACACTATGTTAATTCATTGTTGTTTATACTGACAACACTATTGTAATTCATTGTTGTTTATACTGACAGCGATCCCACATTATCATGACAATCACAAATCCATCAGAGTCTCTTCTTAGTGAGCTACGGAAAGTGGAGGTTGAATCTCTTGCTATCGTACTGATTATTTTTAATGAACATCTGTATTTAAACTTTATCTATTAATTTCTGGACCATTACTCAAGTTCCACTATAGGACTAATTGATTATTTGTTATTGTTTCAGGAGATGAAATTGCAATGTGACGAGAAAAGGTAAACAATCTTTTCATTTTTTCAACTGGATTTTATATTCTTTCTTGTGTCACTTTTTATTGATAGCATGTGTGGTTTACAGAGATATGTTTGAATATATGGCTGGCCAACTTCGAGAAAATGGGAGGTGGAAACATGGTAAAGGGGAGACTTTCACATCCCGACAATTGCAAGCCGTTTGTGAAGAATACGATGATGTTGCAAGGCTCTGCATATTTCGTGTAGAATCGTTAAAGCAAGGGCAAAGCCGGAGCTTACTAACTCAAGCAGCTCGTCACCATGCAGCACAGGTTCTTTTAGTACTTCCCATGATTTCACATTTGAAGATCTTTGCTATAGTCAATTTCAAGTTTTCTTGATTTTTCCATTATTTCTGAAAACAGTTACATTTTTTCCGGAAAGGACTTCAATCTCTTGAAGCAGTCGAACCACGTGTTAGAAATGTTGCAGAGAAGCATCGCATTGATTATGAGCTATCTGACTTGAATGTAGAAAATATGAAGGATGAATGGAACAGTTTCGAAAGTAATGGTTATGGAGAAATAAGTTTTGATTTCAGAAAAAACGAGCTGGAGCTGGATAAATGCTTCACGTTGAGGAACTCCGTGGAGGTGCTTTATATATATATTATTTTCCTCCTGCTAGTCCTTTTCTTCAGTCGCTAATTTTATGAATCGTTGACAAATGGAAATGAAATTTTGGAAACACAAACAAACGAGGACTTATACTTTGTGCTCTTCTTTCTTCAGTTTATGTACCTACCAATACCCTACCCAGATACAAGTTATTAATTCGTCTTGTTTCACCACATATGCAGCTGGATCAGTTATGCACTTCAGGTGCACAAAAAACTAAGATACAAGCAGCTGAAGGGCAGATAAGCAGTAAAGAGAAGCAAGGAGACGATATGCTGAGTCAGCGATGTCAAGCGAGTAGTTATTCTGCTCCAATCTATAAAGAAAAATTTGACCTTGGCGAAAGAATTAAAGAAATGTTGTGTGCCATGCCAAAAGTGAACAACAACACACATGTCCTGCCCACTCCTTGTGATGCAAAGGCCAGCGCCCTTTCAGGTACCACTACCCCATCTTCTAGAAGCCCCAAAAACACTTGGCATTCGTCACCTCTGGACACCAAGAAGCAAAACAAATTTATCAACCACCATTTACTGGACCCGTGTGTTTCTGAAAATCCGAAAACGTACAAGCACTTTCTTCCCCTGCCGACCGAAGGAGCCGACGAGCGTGATACCAATTGGAGAATCAAAAGACAGTCTTTCTCCGACTCTTTAGCAAGTAGGCCATCGTCCAACCATAACCGTCTTCACATCAATGCCTCACCCCCGATTTCCTCCTCTCCCAAGATAAACGAGCTTCACGAGCTCCCCAGGCCCCCTGATTCTTGTGGGCTCAAACTATCTGTGGAAGCCCTCGGCCACTCTGCCCCATTAGGTAATCGGAATCGCCTGGCGAGTGAAGGATCCCCACTTCCCCTCCCACACCACACTGTTTCTACAACTTTCTCCATACGCTCTAGTGGTCAGAGAGAGGTGGCTTCCCCTTCGGGCAAGCTATTGCAGTCCGCTCAGGTTGTGCAGAATATGCAAATTACTTCCCCTCCATTATCACCTCTGTTTTTATCCAACTTGAGGTCACCCAATCGTGGAGGGAAATTGAATAATGCTCTCGTGCCACTTGGTTTTTCTGCTTAAAAAATTATATTGAAATGAGAAATGCCATGGGAATTCTTTGTTTCTTGGAGTCTTATGAGAATATATATCTTGGCTTCAGTGGGTGGAGGTGGCAGATGAATTACTGCGCGTTTGGCTGTCTGCTGTTTTTATCTTTCAGTTTCTGGGGCTCAGTATATAATGTCAGTTTCTTGCTGGGTAAATGCATGTAAATATATATAAACGAAATTTTGTCCAGTCTTTCTATTTCGTCAGTTGATCATAAGGTTGCCTTGCTCAACCGATTCATCTGACGACATTCTAGTGTTAAGTGCATCGACATTTTGCTATTATAAATGGTGTGGAATGAGTGTTAAGATATTAGCGTTAACAAGCTGCTGTGGAAGAATTGTGGAGCACTTCTGACTGTATTTGAGACCTTTTTACTTGTAATGCGGTTGTATTTTGCCTGTTGTGGGTAAGGGAATTAAGAAGAAATCCCACCATTCCGAACTCGATATTGCATGCCTTGTGTTTATTTTGTTCTGCGGAATATTTAATTTACTAGCCGGGGTGGGTTTTACCTTGTTTGATTGTTTGTTAACTGTGACACCAATAAAATTATCAAGTATATTATCCAGTCTGTCATTTGTGAACGTCAACAGTTCTTGCACTCGTTAAAGATTGCCTTGCATTTGATAACTTATTCTAAGAAATTAGTGAAAAGATTTGAAATAAATAAATATTGACGTTTATATATATATATATATATTTTTTTTTTTTTCTATATCTCTTTTTAGGAAGAAAAGTCCATTGAAATGAAATTCCCAATTTTGAGAACATGTCCTATTGCAATCCAGTAAAAGATATATCATCTAATCACTAAAGAATTTAAGCTGTAGAAAGTGTTATTTTAAATATAAATATAATGTAAGTTTTAAAGAATTAATTGAATTTTGAAACAAAAACTTTCTATTTTTTGAAAATAGTTTTTCACGTATATATTTCTTTTTATTTGAAAAATTGGGTGAAAGGTGCAAATACACACGTATGCACCCTTGGGAATTGGATAATTCGAAAGAATTTTGAAGGAAAAGAGGGGTGAATGGAGATAATCCAAGCAAGCTGCACCTCCAACTTCCGACCATATATTCACCCACCTGCCCGCCGTCAATCATCCCGGATTCGCACTGGGATTCTCGTTTCATCGTGGCAATCCCCAAGCTCAATTTCACCTGTGAAGTCAAAAATCCCAACTTACAGTAAGCCCATTTCTACTACTCGGGCAATCCTCGATAGCAGCACTTCTGGTAATGACCGTCCTTGTATCTTTTCATTTTCCGTTGTACGTTTGTGATTGCCCGGTCGTGTGAAGTCTGGTAGTTTTCGGTTTGTTAGTTCATAATGTCGATTACCGTGCATAGCGGTGAATTTAGGGGCGTCCATAGCCGTAGTTGAGTCGAAAACACCATCTCCGAGCATGTTTTTGAATTTCCTGATGAGTTTGAAGCATGATTAAGTTATGGTGAGTGAAGTTCGTTTTGTCTTGCGTCGAGCTAGATAAACTGACTTACAAAATGCTGTTTAACAAAAGATTATATTCTTTTAACTTCAAAATTTTAGGTTCATTTTTGTGGAATTATTTCGTTTTCAACCAGACATAATTCTGTCTTTTGGGAGTTCTGTTGTTTGTTTTGTTCACTGTTGTCATCCTACTATGGAGGAGATTCATAAACTATGATGCACTCAAATTATGCTTCTGCCTTTCCTTTTTGTAGACTCTGTGGCCACTAAAGCTGTGGAACATGGTCCATCTTTAGCAGTCAAAGTGAGCTTTACATTTCTTCTGCTCTGGATGTTTGATCCATCGAGTTTGAATATAATTTCAAGAACTAATTGAACTGCTCAGTTTATTTCAGAAAAAGGCTTTCGAGGTATCCACTGATTTAAAGGGAACTTCAATATTTTTAGTTGGTGAGATTATTCACTGAACTGCTAGGATCCTGCTGCTTTTTTCCCCTCTTTCTTTTGAACTATATTTCAGTATCCTTTTATCTGGCTTAGATCTATAATGTGAATACAGGGATAAACAGCTCTTATAAATCGAATTTGGGGAGGATGCTTGCTGATGAATTTCGATACTATTACTTCGACAGGTATAAGTTTATAAAACCATAAAATGACCGCACAAGTCCATGGCGTGTATGATCCTGATGAAGCCAAATACGATTTTCCTGAAAAAATAAAAATTAAAAGCATTAAATGCCTGCACAAGTCCATGGCGTGTATGAGCCTGACAATTGCGAATATGATTTTCCGGAAAAATAAAAAATAAAATCAGAGGTCAAATGTGTGTTGCAATAACCCCATGAATACTATGCGAGCATCCAAGTATGACTGAATACATACATTCTGGTACAGTTGGCTCACATAAATATGCTTACAATTACATTTTTTTTCTTTTTCAGTGATAGCGTGGTGGAGGAAGCTGCTGGAGGAAAAGCATCTGCCATATCCCTCTTGGAGGGGGATGAAGAAGGATATCTTGCCTCAGAGGTGAATTTTAGTAGTATTCTTCTGTTTATAATAGATTATGTTATGCTTATATGAACCTTAAATTTTTGAGTGATGCAATTACTTCCTCGAATGAATTGTAGACCGAAGTATTAAAGCAGTTGTCATCAATGGGCCGGCTGATTGTTTGCGCTGGAAATGGAGCTGTTAATGGTGCTACGAATTTGTAAGTGTCTAAATTGAGGCCGCCAATGTTTTCTGGTGAAGTTTTTTCATTGCAACTGATGACCAAATTGAGTTTACTATTTTTCTAGGGCACTTTTAAGACATGGGATTTCAATTTGGATTGATGTGCCATTAGACTTGGTGGCCAGAGATGTGTTGGAAGATAGAGTTCAGCTCTCTGCTTATGATATGCATGTGTGCAGATCTTCTTCGGAGGTCCATTGTGATCTTGTTATGAGTTGATCTCTGTCTCTTGAGAAGTCTCGATATTATCCTGCACGCACCGTGTTTCTTACCGTAAAGCTATTCCTGAAAATAGGTTTCTTGCAGGTACCTGGTCGATTGGCTACACTGTATAGTAGTGCACAAAGTGGATATTCTACAGCTGATGCTACCATTTCCTTTCTAAGTGAGTCAATAAGATGTTCTCTCATTTTACTCTGTTGTATATACGTTTATCTGATCTCTCTCTCTCTCTCTCTCTCGTGGGAGTAGAGATAGCTTCCCAACTGGGTTATGATGAGCTGGATGCAGTGACTACAGAGGATTTGTGTATTGAGGTGAATAAATGTTGAAACTCCACAAAAGAATGCTGATTCGGAATTCTTTCCACTCACCGTTAATGATTCTAATCCTTTTTATGTTGGCCAGGTTCTTAAGGAGATAGAGAAGCTGGTAAGAGTGAAGAAGATGATGGAGGATGCAGCCAGACCATTTTAAACCACAGTCTAGTTTTAGAAAACATTATTTCTTTCAGGCGTAAACAATTCGTGTTTATTTAAAAAAAAAAAAAAAGTAATTCTAATGCAAGAATGTCTATGATGGCTATTAGTGACGTACGATGTCTTCTCCTGCAGCACTGAGTGGTAATCGATAATATGGAAAGGTAAAAAATGGTTGTTTGTCTGTCATTACATATGCGAGGTTTTTACCAGCAGATTGCCAAAATTGGTTCTTCTAGGTGGGAAATTGAGGTATTTGCCTGCTTCTGTCAATTTGTGACCATTGTTTAAATATCCTAAAGATCAATTTTGATCAGCGCCCAGGTTCTAATATGTTGAAGTTTGCATAATGCATATACATAGGACTTGACTTGTTAATTTTTCACATGGCTAGTTGTAAACTTTAATTATGGGAAGGTAGTTGTGGCATATGACAGACTTGTGCGTCTTTGTCTGTCGCCTGGTTACCTGCCTCTAATTTTTTTCTTCATGGTCCCCCTATTTTTTCTCGACCTGCTTTGGTTAATTAGAACTTTATTAGGATATGTTACTTGTTAAACATACAAGGCTAACCTAACTTTTTTTTTTAATTGGTAGTAATAAACAACAGCAGTAAAATGTGGATTACATCTCCCAACTCATAAAAGTGCGTGATACATAATTTATTTACTTAACATATTTAATTTTATTTTCGAAATTACATTAATTTATTATAAATTTTGTCATTAATTTGAATACCATATAAATTATGCCAAATTATATTTATTTCTATTTTATGTATGTAACACGACTGATTTGGAGTAATATGAAAAAATGGTTAGAAAATAAATATTTGTGAAATTCTACAAAATAATAGAAAACGTATAGCCTCGTCCACATGTCAAATTATAATTATTTCTATTTTTTAGATTATCTATTTATAATTTTTTTTTAATCAACCAAAGCCTCGTCCACATGTTTAGCAACATATAGGAATACGCGACCAGTGGACTCCGTAGTAGAAAAAGTATTACTTAATGTACGTATACTGTGCATTACTGGTAAATCCAAGTATAAAAAAACGTTTCGCTCTTCATAGCCTTTTCTTTTCCATTTTTCACCTTTTCTACCATCAGGAGAAGCTTGTATCCAACAATTTGCAACACATTTAATTCGATTTGGGTGCGCAAGGTAGAGATCCATTGATCGGACAAACGATTTCCGGTGCCGGCGCTCGTTTCATCGTTGCATTTTCCGACGTTTACCGTCAGGATTTAAATTAATTTGTAAGAACGATAAATTATTAAAAATCTACACATTATTGCAGCTGGGTTATGCTTTTTTCTCATCGTCCGATTTAAATATTGTTTTCTTTGNTATCTTCGTTGCTTGTCGAGTGATGATTACTGAAACGTAAAGTGGATGATAGAGGAATCAAATTTGATTACCGATTGATGAATATTTGTTATCAGAAAATATGTAAATCGATATAATACTCCGTCAACTCCATCGTGCTGGATTTCTGTTTAGTATATCATTGTTTTAATTGATTCTGAAAAATGTAGAATGTTGATGAAATGAATACATTAAAGCTGATGGTCGAATTGCAGCTGCTTTCGATTTTTCTGGCTCTTCTATTCTGTCATTGTACCATTTTGCCCTGGGAATATGTGTCTTTTAGGCTTCAATCTTTTGCAATTAGTGGATTCTTTTGTTGTCCTGTTTCGCTCTTTTGGTCTGGTATTCCTCTAATAGGTAGTTTTCTTATTGCAGGTGACTTGCCTTGGTTTTGCTGGAAGCTATGAGCTGTGTTTTAAGCTTATTTGGATTCTCAGAATTGTTGTATATGGGTTGGGATTAGATGAAATGGTTACTGCTAATTAGGGATGATGGGTTGTGCTTGGATGGGAAGTTGATGTTGAATGATTGGTAGAATAATTATAAGTTTTGTCGTTGTTGGGGTGGGCCTTACATTAGTAATTTCACATAAACAAATAAGCACTGCGTACATTCTTACAGCTTTTGAGAGATGGGATTACCTCAAGTTTCGCCTGGAGAAACATCTGAGGACGCCACTAGACCTCTAAGAACATATTCTTATAATGTAAGTGGCACCCGAACTTGCGATTCAAATGAGACGTGTCAGGAAGCTGCGACCCAAGCATGTAGTTATCCAAGATGTCATTCATTGGGAGATCTTCAATTGAAATCCTCGCTTGGGTTCTCTGAGTCTCCCGATGCATTCCAGAAAAAGGTTTTGGAGGTTACACCGAAAGTTGTCGTGCCAAAAGTATCTTCTGAAGGAAATTTCTGCTCATCAACTCTTGAAACCAGGAAGAATGGTCACACTCCGGTCTCTAGGATTGTTGGTTTCGATTTTGATAATGCAAATGTCTTGTCTGATGGATTAGATGGAGGGTTGAGACATCATTCTTCTTCTTCGGGCAATATCACCCTTGAAAGACCTGAGGTCAGTGGATTACTTGTGAAGAAGCGAATGCTGTCTCCTTTGACTAAACTGCTGTTACCAGAAAAATTCAACGGTGATGATTCTTTGGATATTGGCAGCATAAATTTCTCGAGTAGTTGTCACTCGGTCAGGGATACAAATGTTATTTCTTCAGCACCGGATAATAAAAAGCCAAACCTAGATTTGAATAATCACTTGACTATGCCATTCTGGTCCGTAAAATCTCCAGAACCAAATGACAGGTATTATACATGCAGCAAGGGAACCCCAGTTTTATTTACTGATGGCCCTGTATTAGAGGACAAGGAACTAGCGTCATTTTCATATCAACCTTCATCTAGAAGTGGTCCTTACGTTGGTTTATGCAAGGTGGGAAATCGATGGCAGGCTAAATCAGTGCCCACTGAAGAACCACTCTCCTCTCCAGTCTCTTTTTCTCCCCTTGGGCCAAAATTTTATTTAGAACCCATATATAGGGAGATAAATAGTAAGAAGCAGGTGTTTTTTGAACAGACTGCACGTTCTCTTGATGACAGACTGTTTCCATCCGAAGAAGAAGAGTCCAGGAATAAAATAGTATCATTTGAACAGCATACTGGCATTCATACTGGCCAAGCCCAAACGTCACCCTCAGAGACAAAAACTGGAAAAGAATGGTTTTTCTGTCAGCATCATAATGCTAAAAGCCTGAGTAAAAAATTGAGGGGATTTCCTCTAAGAAGGTCATTAATTGGATCGTTTGAGGAGTGTCTGTTGTCTGGTCGGCTTTCCTGCGGAAGATTTTGTCAGGTTATTTCTCTTGTCTCTTTATTTGATCGTCGAAAGTTCATGTGCGGAGCTGGGTTGGATGAAGTTATAGTCATTCTTAACACTTTTTGACATTGATATGACATTTGTTCTTTGCTATGCATTGTACAGAAAATAGATGGTTTTCTTGCTGTGCTGAGCGTAACTGGAGGCAATTTTTCGCCGAAGTCACAGAAACTTCCATTTGCAGTGACAAGCGTTGACGGGGACAGCTATTTGTTATACTATGCATCTATAGATCTGTCTGGCAATTCGCGATCAAACAAGGTCGGGTTTGAGAGTCAGAGAAAGAATCTTAACAATGGCAGCGGTACACTAAGTGGCAAGGAGAACTGCCTGCGTATTCCTATGAAGGGCCGCATCCAATTGGTATTTACGTCATCTCCTTTGTATTTATTTAAGGATTAGTTCGTCCTACTGAGATATGGCCAGGGGATAATGCAGTTAAACTAAAAGTTCTGCCAGGTTATTATTTCCTTAGACTGACAGCTAATTGACATCAATAGTTTTGTGCAAGTTACCTATTCTGTTGTTTGCCATTTAGCAGAACCTTGATATGGATTCCTCCACCGGCTAATATCTCTGTTCCTGCTCAACACCTTCTATATTTCTCATTGAAGTTTCGGTATTGATTTGATTTCTAATGAAATGTATGATTTAAATGTGGGTGGGTTTCTGTATTTGTTCAATATAATTTGATTGCTGATGAATGTTGTTGGGTTGCCTTATTTGTTTCAATATGGAAGGTGTGTAACTTATATACTATGAAAGGACTGAGTTGAAATTTATCATCATCAATGTATACCAGTCTGACAACAGTACAAGTTGCAATTGTATAATATATAGTAGGAGAAGAGCCACGATTATCCAGTCTTCTTTCGAACATTGCTGAACAATATGAATAGCTAACTACGAGAGTTACCAACAGGTTCTGAGTAATCCCGAGAGGACACCGGTACATACCTATTTCTGTAACTACGATTTAAGTGATATGCCCACTGGAACCAAGGTGAGTCCTTAATTTATCAAATTGAAAGGTTTTCTTGAGATCAATTCCTTTATCATTGATGATTCTTCTTGAGCTAATCGCACGAGACAATGGAAAACGTAATATTTTGTGCTTTGAGGCAGACTTTCTTGCGACAGAAGGTGTTTCTTTCTTCCTCAGCCTCGGATTCCAAATCCGGAAAGGAAGAACAAAAAATCTTGAATAAGAAAGATGAGGACAAGGCATCCATACTCTTAGAAGGGAAACACAATGAAGCAACAGGACGCATGATGGAAACTTCAGGGTGCGATACGTGTCAGAACAGTCGTGTGGATGCTTTTTCCGAAATGGATAGGAAATCGGAACACAATTGTTCAAGGGCCAACCGGAGCACGACCAGTGCCGGTGCTCTTCGTTATGCCCTTCATTTACGATTTATTTGTCCTTTTCCTAAAAAGAGTGTGGTGCCGGAAAGTAAAATAGATATTCAAAAACAGCAAAGGAGATTTTATTTGTATGATGATTTGAGAGTTGTGTTTCCCCAACGTCAATCAGATGCTGATGAGGGAAAGGTACATTTTTTTCACTCTATTACCTTTTGGGAATTCACGACACGTGCAGTTTGTCTTTTGAAATTACATTCGGTAATGTTTCTTGATTTTTGGTAATTGCAGTCGAACGTTGAGCACCACTTTCCTGAAGATCCAAAGTACTTCGATATCAGCAGCTGAAGTGTATTTTCTGCTGTAAAGAGTATTATATGTTGTTGTTCTAATTAGTAGCTACTTGTAGCCCGAGCTACTCGCTCTTTGGTGCTAGTTACAGACTGTAAATTATGTCTGATACGGAAAAAATGAGAATTAAGAGGGAAAAAAAAAGAAGAGAAAAATCAGTCACGGTTGTACATTATTGCTCTTGTGGGGAGAAAATGGAAACTTGATTAACTAGGTAGGATATTGTCATTTCTAATACAAGTGATCAGAATTAACCTGGTAGTCTTGAGGGAAAGGACTGTTTTTTTAATTTAAAAGTAAAAAAGAAAAGGAAAAAATTGAAGAAAAATGCATGAATTATTGAAGTTTGATCAAGTGGAAGCTATGTAGAGTGGCCTAGTTACGTAGACGCGTGGTCTCACTTTATAAAAATTGCCATTTTGGTGTTGGAATTATCTTACTTATCTCATTGAAACCTGCATTGGAATATATACCATTTCAACTCATTCCATATTTCCATCACTCAAATTCTACTAAACCTCTTTGCGCATTCCTTGTGTGTGTGTGATGGATAGAGAGGTCTAACATAACTAGCATTGCTCTGCACATGAAGTGTTTGACTCTACTGCTGACTAAAAAGTTTTTTATTGTTGGTTCAACACGTACGCAACTTGGCGATTACTTGCGGTTACTGGTAGGTTGAAATTTTCTCTGGTGTCAATTTTTTATTCAAGTAATGGTCAGTATTATACTTTTTTGCATCATTATTATTATATTAAATTTAAAAGTGCAAACCAACAATTTCCATTTGCATGTATGGGGCTAACACCAGTTTGGTGCAGTGAAAGCGGTACATTGTCGTGTAAAAGGCGTAGGTACCCAGTCCATTATTAAATTACCAATCTAGGCTTTGCTTTCTCCGCATAAAACTACAACGTTAGTACTATGTCACCTTACCTCGGATATGTTTATGCATTTATATATATACAATACCAATCAATATATAGGTTTAGTTTGTTTGATGCATCCAGGTGATTGGACAATAAGGCTTTTCCTTTGTGTATCAAAATTCTCATCGTACACGTCTCCTCAACACGCACACACATCCATTATGTATATACTTTCAAATCTTTGGACGTCAAGCCCATGCTCTTGATGTCTTATCACTTTCAGAAAAACTAGTCCAATCTCTATTTTCTATTTATATAGGCTCCCTTAATTTCAGTAGAAAGTTTCAAAATTGTACTGCCAATCTACCCAAATCATATATACACATATGTGTGTATTTGTACATAACAAAAGGGACAGGGTCATTTTTCTTTTATCCTTTAAGACCTAGTTTGGTTTCAGAGATTGGATGTGACAAAAATAATCCCAAGTGAATGGATTGTACTGTTGTGTTTATGATTTACTAATGTTTGTTATTCAGGACAGAGCTTAGGATATGATTTTTTATTTTTATTTTTTCTTGC